GGAATATCATGTTTCTCAGATGCCAAATTCAAATTACGTTGCAGATAATATTACACAGTTCTTAGAACTCTTGTTGAATTAAAATTTATATTGAGCTATTATCTCACGCAGTTACAATATTAAGACTTTTTCAGCTATTTCATTTTTTTTCAGAAATGATTTCCATATTATAAATATAATGGTTATGTAACTTAGTTATTTTAACAGCTTCCTATTTTGTTACAGATATTAAATCCATGAAAGGAAGAACAGTTGTCTCTAAATATGAATATTTTTAATTTGTTCATACGTCATAATAGGAACATGCATAATTGCTATGTTCAAATCCATTATATCATTAATCATAAGAAGAATACACAATCTTTTGGGCTCAACTTGTCAAAAAATTCCCTCCTCAACAAAAGTGAAACAATTTTTTACATATTCATTTATTTAAATATATGTATGGGCTCTGTCTATATATATAGGACACCCGATTGGACTCACTCACTCACTCTCTCTCTCTCTCTCTCTCTCTCTCTCTCTGTGTGTATGTATGTATGTATGTTATTCAGCTTTGTTCGGGTATTTTCCCACATCATTATAGTTGTGCTTTTAAAGTTGTAGCAACGTTTCAGCAGAATCTCATCTGCCATCATCAGGCTTCTGTATTGTGTTTATCTGTGAGTCAGACTTTTACAGTTGTTTCAGTTTTAAATTTGGGGCTAGCCTACTGCTGTGCCAGAATGGTTTTTTCTTCATCCTGATTGGTTGGGAGTCTTGGTCTGTGTTTATTGGTCTTGGAGTTTGCTGTGTTCTGCTTGATTGGTGTTTCTAATATCTTCTGTCTGTTTTGTGGCTTTTTTTTGTATCTTGATTGGCTGGCAACATTGTGTTCCTGTATTGGAGGCTTTTAGTGCAGCTTGGCTCCGAGTAAATGGACGGCTATCATTTGTTAGGAAGCTAGGTTTCATCTGGGTGCCTGGTTGGGGTGTGTTTGAGCTGGAGGTATCAGGGGGGATCTGTTTGTGCCCAGGTGTTTGCCTGGCTGGTGGTGTGGAGATTTTTTTGTTTGTGAGTGCAGGCTTCCAAATGATTGACAGTCTGGTGGAATCATCTCTTCTATTCATGCTTTCAGGTCTTTTTTCAATCTATATGGCTTCTCTGATAATTCTGTGGCTGGGGTTTTCTATGGTGGCTAGGGTTTTGGTGCCATTGAAGTTGATGCTATGACCTGTGGCTTTCATGTGTTGGACTAGTGAGGAAATGTGTTCCAGCTTTTTTACTGCATTTTTGTGTTCATCCAGGCGGGTACTTATTCTTCTATTGGTCTGTCCAATGTATGTGGCCCGGCATGATGCACAGGGGACTTCATATATATACAGAAGCCTGATGATGGCAGATGAGATTCTGCCGAAACGTTGCTACAACTTTAAAAGCACAACTATAATGACGTCGGAAAATACCCGAACAAAGCTGAAT